GAATCTGTGATCTCAAAGTGGAAGGCATGCCACACAAGAGTTTGAACACCAGTAGAGGTGTAATCAGCTCTAGAGACCTGCTGGAATTTTCCGAGAAGGAAACAGTGGAGAGAATTGAAGGAGTCAACCATGCCGGGCACATTACCAGGCGTAGGATGGTGAGGAGGTCAAAACCGCCTCTATTATCCTTACATTCGGAACAAGGACACCGCCAGAGTATGTGAAGTCAGGATACCTACGAGTTCCAGTGAGGCCCTACATACCTAACCCCATGGCGTGCTTCAAGTGCCAGGGTTATGGACACGGCGCGGCAGTCTGCAAGAGGAACACAAACAAATCTGGGGCAAGTAGTTTTTTGGGGGTTTTTTATCCATGGACATTAGAAGTAATTCGGCACCTGTGCTCTCCACCCATTGACCAAATCTCTAAAATAGAAACCCCTCAGAATCGTCCTTGGCTAATGAACAAACCCAAATTTAATTTATCCCTCCTTAATTTTAAAAAAAGAAAATACAGACCCAAGCATACTATTAGTCCACTTTAGGGAACTGAAGAAGAGCTACGGAGATTGTGGCACCATCTACACTGACGGATCCAAAATTGATGGATAGGTCGCGTGTGCTTGCTCCTTTCAGAACAAAACAATCTCCCGTAGACTCCCCGATGACTGCTCCATCTTTACGGCCAAATTACATGCAATATCACTTGCACTTATGGCCGTCAAAGCATCAGAAAGGAGAAAATTTATAATCTGCCCCAACTCCAAATCTGCTTTGCAAGCTTTAGGATGAAGACTGACATTCTATTGATACATAAGAGCCTGAAGCTGTTGGATCAAATAACAGCCAACCATGTCAGATTCATCTGGGTCCCCTCCCATGTGGGCATTGAGGGAAACGAAGTCGCAGATAGAGAAGCAAAGAGAGCCCTAAATCAAGCAGTGTCAGGAACTCAAATTCCCTGCTCGGACCTGAGACAAAGTATTGCTTCTGCCACCTATCGAGAGTGGCAGGACCAATGGGAGGCTGAGACTCAACATAAACTCAGGCAAATTGTGGCGGATGTCAGTTGGCGGCACACATCTAAGGGTCTGACAAGGCGTGGTAGCACGACCATGTCCAGACTTAGGATTGGCCACACCTACATCACGCACTCTTTTGTACTGAAGAGAGAGGAGACCCCACTTTGTGAGTACTGTGACGCTCGCCTCACCGTGGAACATATCCTCATTGATTGCCCCAGATACCAGGATGTCAGGGAGAAATATTTTAGAGCACACAACTTGAACACTATTCGACAATGTCGACCCTGGTAAGGTACTGGGCTTTGTCCGGGAGGTGGGGTTGTCTACGAAGATCTGATTTATAAATTGTGAACATATAATATTTACATAAGATTTTTACCAAATTATTAAATTTGTACTACCTTTACTACTTTAACTGTGAATAGACCTTGTTTTTAATGATTTAACTGTATAGAATTTAGCCCTTGTTATATAAAGGGAGAGTGATCCTTAAAGGATTACGGGCACGACATGGCCTAAATTGTGCCGATGTGCTTAAACTCAAAACTCAAAAACTATCTCCGAAATAATATTTTTCATTTTTCTTCTAGTTTTCGAGATCTGAGTGTGACAGACGGACATTTTGCACAAACCTAATAGCGGCTTTTCCTCTTACAGGGGCCGCTAAAATGTTATTTGACATAAATTTGATATCAATAATTAAACTATAGTGACGTATTTTCAAAGACTATAAGTGTAAGTACGGAGTACCCAAAGGATCAGTTCTAGGCCCAGTACTGTTCATTATGTACACATATCCACTCAGCGGTGTCATACGGCCAACCGGTATCTTTTACCATTTCTTTGCCGATGACTCACAGTTATACGATTCATCAGTACCCTCAGAGGTGTCGCATCTGGCAGAGAAAATCAGTAGTACCGTTGCAAGGGTGAGCGATTGGATGGTTGAAAATAAACTCAAGATGAACGAAGACAAGACAGAAATAATTAAGATTGGCACTAGGAACAATGTCTCAAAATTTGAAAGCACAGATTCTCTCTTTATCACGAACTGCCATGTTCCTTTTGTCCATGTAGTGCGGAATCTTGGAGTTTTCTTCGACTCAACACTATCTTTCGACCCACACATAAGTCAGCTCTGCAAAGGTCTTTATCTGCCGCTGCGCAGATTAGGCCAGATCCGACCATATTTAACAACGGAGTCAACAAAAACGCTAGCTGTGGCATTCATACTCTCCCGCCTTGACTACTTAACGCCGTGCTAGCAGGTATACCTGATGACAAAATAGCCAAGCTGCAGCGTATACAGAACAAGGCCGCTCGAATAGTCCTTAAAAAAAAATAGACAAGATTCTGCTACTACGCTCTTGCGCACGCTCCATTGGCTTCCCGTGAAAGCGAGAATCGATTACAAGGTCGCCACACTTTGTCATCAGTGTATATATAACAACGAGATGCCCTTGTACCTTAGAGAACTGATTACTCCATATGTCCCCCAGAGAGCCCTACGCTCAATGGACTCAACGCTTTTAGTGGTGCCACGTTTCTCCCTCAAAAGCTACGGTCTGCGGGCTTTTTCAGTTCACGGACCAAAGGTTTGGAACACACTCCCCATTGATCTCAGACAGACAACATGCTACACCACTATTAAGAAGAACATTAAGACCTATCTGTTTAAAACTTTTTTAGATTAGTTTGTCATGTTAGCTCTTGTGTTTGTGTTTGTAATGTTGTTACAGCGCCTTGAGCCTACATTTTGTTTGTTAACAGCGCTTTATAAATAAAATTATTATTATTATTATTATTAATATTAGTCAATTATTTGATGTCAAACAATCATTTGACATAATTTATTTTTTATAAAACAATATCCAAAACAGTACAAGTCGGTATAGAGTTTTTCATTTAGCATTTATATGCTATTTACATTAAAAAACTGAACAATACATCATTAATCATGTGTTTTGCAACGTTTTAGCATGAAAATTAAATGTAATATAAGTTAGAAGATCAAACAAACATTCGTTGGCTTTGATTTGTTTTTCCCAAAAACATAAGTTAGAATAGATATTTAAAACTATTGAGATGTTTCGGAAGGAACATTAAAGGTTAAATCAGATTTTCAATAGCTTTTAGAGTTATTGTTTTTTATAAACGTGACGGACAGACCAACCGACAGATAAAACATACAAAAATATGCGTCTTTTATTCTGATGGGGCACTAAAAAAACTGATTATTTTTTTAATTTTGAGGGAACTGATTACTGCCATGTATAGCAGCTGGTCACGCTACTGCAAGAAAATTGCTGCATAAAAAGTCCATTTAAAAAAAAGTGCATTCTTAGCCTTTATTTTATTGGCCTTCTTCAGTCGTAGGACGACTATGGTTCATCTCAGAGCACACTTCCTCATGTGGCTGTGGAGCCCTATTTTTGAGAGACACTCCCTTCCACAAATAGCGCAGGTTCAGGTGGCATTTGCTTCGGTGGTAGAGGAGCTGGCCATTTTTCGAATTGTACGTTTTTTTTCCTGAGCTGTGACCCATATTCTTTCACAGTCCATAGCATTCTTGGTCACTGTCTCTCTCCTTCTGGTGCTGTCTAGAGCTATGTCTTCCCAATTGTCAGTATTGATGTTCACAGATTTGAGGTCCCGTTTTATTACATCTATGTAACGGAGGTGGGGGCGACCAGTATTTCTTGTGCCAGTTGCGAGTTGTCCATAGAGGATGACTTTCGGGATGCGCTTGTCCTCCATCCGGCGAACATGTCCAAGCCAGCGCACACGGCGTTGTCTGAGGGCTGTAAAGATGTTAGAAATACCTGATCGCGCAAGGATCTCAGTATTGTACACTTTTTCTTTCCATGTAACTGTCATGATTCTACAGAGACATCTCAAATGGAATGAGTTCAGTTTTCTCTCTTACTTTGTGTAGGTCATCATTAGTCTTTATAAACAAACATAAATGTTTTAATTTTAGCAGCTAGTTGACCAGTAAAAACACCTTTGACTAATAATTATATTTGTTGTGAACATTTCCTGTACATTTTATAAATATATTTGCCTTAGTGATACTGAAAATACACAAAAGTTGTCTTTCTTTGTTAACATACTGTAACAGGATTTCCCTTACATTTAGTGTATTTTTATGAAAAAATTGCATGCATAATTAATATTATAAATTAAATAGTTTGCTTTGAGAAAACCAAAAGCAGCCGTTGCACCTAAACTTTTCAGGCCGCATCGTGTAATCGTGTTGATACCAGGAAGAAGGACTGTTGTAGGTCCGGCTGGGAAGTGATCTGCAAGTTATTGGAGTCTGAGCTGTCTGGGATCAAGAGCCGTCCTTCACAGATAGCTGTGAACTGTATTGAGAACCTGGAGCGACACTGGGAAGTGTGTCGGTGGTCTGAACTAGTTTTTATATAGAAAAGGACTGGTGGAACTTAAGATAAGACACTCTGGGACTTGATAGTTAAAGTCCATTTCCTGTTTGTTTATACTAGCTGTAAATAAAAACATCCTGCCATTCGTTGAGTGCTTGCCTTAGATTTACAACAATATTTTATTATAATAATTTCATAATGGCTTTTTAACATTGGTAATAATTTCGTCATACTTGATCAATAAAGTCATAGGCAGTCTCCATAAACATTGGCCTTCGGCAATGTCTGCAGCCTCTTCCCAGCTGGTGTCCACTGCCTTGAGCTTCCATGAGAGTGCGTCGCCAAAATATACGAGGACGTCCCTGTTTGCGTTTCTCTCGTATAATGGTAATTTTACCCTTGGGAGTACTTGGACGCCCAATTCATTCCGTGGCGTACGCTGGCTTTTTTTTTTCTCTTATTTTCGGTTTCTGTGTGTCCCATCGAGGAACTAATAAATGAAAATAGCATTCAACATATTTGTAGATTGTGATATTAATGAACAATAAAACAAATGAACGCAAATAATATACTTATTTTATTTATAAGTAGTAATGTATCAACAAACTTAAACAATAAGGCAGCTAACATACATGCACAAGATTAGTATTTTGTAATACAGCTTTAACAAATACTGCATAGTACCCTAGATAATGATGAGAAAAATGCTTGACAACTGTGACAAAACTAGATCTAAAAACTAGAGAAGAAGAAGTAATTAACTACAATATGTTTACTGTGACAACATAAAGAATAAAGTTTAACAATCAAGTGAATGTCTATAGTGACAACATAAAGAATAAAGTTTAACAATCAAAGGAATACAAGTCGACATATATTTTCTATTCTAACCGCATTTCCTACTCTGTTCTCGTATCTTTTATGGCTCACGAAGAGGTGGGTTACAAATGGTTAGAGTTGCTATTTTTTTTATAACGTCACCAATAGGATAAAATACACGTTACATTTTTTAAATTATTCTCAGTCAAATTATTCTCAAAATTAAGGTCGCTATTAAAGAGCGCCTAATTTTCCGGTGCCTTATTTTCCGCCCTGTCAAAAAGTGCTTAATTTTACGGTGCCTAATTTTCCGGGTGCCTAATTTTCATGGTGTCTAAATCCGGGAGCCTAAATTTCCGGGTGCCTAAATATACGGTGCCTAAATTTCCAGTGCCTAAATTTCCTAGATTCCAATTATCATTAATTTTTCCTTTTAATCTGCTCATGACCATTTTTTTCTACCGACTTTGACCGAATCGGGAAATGGGAGGCCATTTCGAAGATTGGCCGGTTAATGGGAAGCGATAATGGCCGGCCAGTTCGCAAATTAGCAGATTTCGGGCTTTGACCGAAACACATGCATTTTGTGATTTAACATCTAAGAATGCTTAATGTGTGCTGTGCGTGTGTATACTTAAAACATTTTTAAAAGATTTAAGGTTAATCTATAAGAAGAAACTACAGGACCTGTTTGTGCGTGTTATTTATCTCTTTTATTTCACTTTATAACTTATATCAACTCTGTCTGTCTGGTATAACGTTTATACACGTTATTTCTCCCTTAATCATTATCGGATCAAGTTGAAAATTGTAAAAATTATTTATTGGCATAGACAAGACATGAATCAAAAAAAGAAACAACAATTAATCAATTAGTTACTAGTAATTAATTTTTTTGCTCGATACCAACAAAGGAAATTAATCTTTCAGTAATCACATGTAGGTTACGTCCACTCAGATAATTTCACGCTATTTCTCCCACATTTATTGTCAGGTCAAGTTGAAACTAGAAACAAATGTATTTATTGTTCCTAGCAAAACATGAATCAATAAGTCAATAGTTAGTGGAAATTAATTATTTTGTTTGACATCGAATAAGGTAGATAGCTTCTACATTATTGAGAGATATAGTTGTAAGTGTGGAGATATTTTCCTTTTATAAGCTTTGTTTGGTCTAACGCAAACTCAATTAAGCAGCTTAAATAATTAAATAATTTAATATGTAAAAAGGAGCGATTAATTTTGAATTAAACAAGAACGAGTTTCAATAGACACAATCAGAGTTTGTATTTTCACACACAATGTCACTCTTCTTAAAACAATGTAGATAAAAAGACAGATTTTTATATTTTCAGCATGTGTATCAGAAATGTTAAACTAAAACAACCAACAACCATAATCTATCTCCCTTCCCTCCACACAAACCTAAAGGCTTGTCAAAAAGAGTTTCTCTCATTACTGACCTCTGGAAGAAGTTCTTCCTTAAAATGAAGAGACAAGTGGTCCTGCTTTTTCGGTTAGAGTTATTATTAAGATATCCACGATGATTATAAACAAGAAATTACACGAAGCCTGGCCTATTAAATATATTTGTAGAATAAATGTGTGTGGATATGTGATCACATTCTATGAAGATCAATGCTTTAGGTTATGCGCGTTGGACTGTCGTTTGATTGTCTCGATGGTCATATTCTGCTTGCTGACATCCCCTTCGGGGGGTTTGGAGTAGAATGTACTTTATATTTACTCTGATGGAACATCCGAAACATGTAAAGGAAAAATCAAAACAGTTTTAGTGTATAAAGTTTTTTTTTATAAATAACGAGACTGTATGAATTAAAATTACTTACTGGAAAGTAGTAACAATATATACTTAGCAAAAAAATGTACAGTCTTTTATGAATTACTAGAAATACACACACGTTGATTTGTAACCAGACTTTATAGTGTTTATTTTGGCCGGATCACCCCATTTTTTTTGGCGGCCCCCGTAAGGGGAAAAAGTCGCCATTAGGTTTGTCCAAAATGTCCGTCTGTCACACTTAGATCTCGAAAACATTTTTTAAAATGGATTTTTATGCAGCGACTTTCGTGCAGTAGCGTAACGCCGCGGCATGATACGGTGCTAAACTAATTCCTTAAACATTTTTAAATAATCAGTTTTTATTTATTTTTTGTTTAGTGCCCCATCAGGATGAAAGCCGCTTATTTTTGTGCGTTTTGTCTTTTGTTCGGTCTGTTCGTCACGTTTAGATTATTAAAAAAACAACAACAGTAAAAGCAATTGAAAATAAAATCTGATTTAACCTTTAATGTTCCTTCCGAAACATCTGTATAGTTTTAAGTATCTATAATAGATTGTTTCGGATGGTTTTGTGAAAACAAATCAATGTCAACGAGTGTCTGTTTGCACAATGCTTAAACGTTGAAAACACTTGATCAATCATATGTTGTTCCGTTTTTTTCAATGTAAATAGCATATGAGCTAAATGAAAATCTCTATACTGACTTATATTTCATTAACTATAAAGTTGTTCAGGAAATTGTTTTTTTTTTTAAATATTATGTCAAATGATTGTTTGAAATCACATCATTGACTTAAATTACACTTATATTCTTTGACAATACGTCAATATAGTTTAATTATCGATATCAACTTAAAATAAATGTATGTCAAATGAATTTTTTTTTCAAAAATATCGACAATAGGTTGTTCAGGATTTTAAAATAAGAAAGTAATTTACTAGAAACGATTATTGAAAATCACTTTCTAGTGGCCCCCGTAAGGGGAAAAGCCGCTATTAGGTTTGTTAGACTTATTTTTCATATAATTTTCTTGTTGAAACAGGAAAAGTTTTTTAATCGGTAAATAATGTTCCGGATTTTGTTTTGAAAAAGAAAATGACCTACATAACATTAATAATCTTACAAATCGTCGCCAAAATTATTCCGAAAGTTATTAGAACAATCTACAACGCCAAATAACTGTTTCAAAACCCTTTTGTAATAAATAGATGTGGTGTACCGAAAGAGACCGCTGACATAGTCTGTTCGTGCTGACACCATAGGTGTGTCTAACACACCTCGTCGATTCATGTCCCAGAGATTACACTGTTTACCCTCACAGGTCTGGACAGACATTTTACATAGCTCAAAAAATTAACATTTATTAATACTCGTTCTCCCACTATGCACCTATAATGTTTTTTCGGGCATTAACAAGTGTACTTAATTTTCTCTCCACTTACTTGTCCTAAAGCGACCTCTTTTCTGATGTATGATCATGATCACATACCAATAAGAGAAACCATAAAACTTACTCTTTTCGTGGTTTACATACATCGTCGCCTTATAAATGCCCTTTCTAGTCATAGAAAAATAATATACATACATACCTAATAACTAAATAGATAATTACCAAGCAAACTGAGAGAACCTAACAAACAAATTACAAAATTAACTATATTCACAGTTACATGTACATTACACTATCTCAAAGTAACTCGAGACAACATGTCCTCCACCATATTGATGGTTCCGCTTATTGCCTTTATTTCAAATTTGAAGTTCTGTAATATCAAAAACCACCTACACATTCTTCAATTTTTCATGCTTTTCTTTTGCGTGAACTGAAGTGGTTTATGATCGGTAAGCAAAAACAAGATCCCTTGCCCAGAAATTAGCTTTCTAACGTTGTTACCACCCATACTATCGCCAGAGCCTCCCTTTTAACTACACAATATCTTCTTTAGCCTCTGACAGTTTCCTGCTGACATACGCTATGGGATATTAGCACTCCTCGTATTGTTGCATTAAACATCTCCCAATAGTGCTCCCTGACGCCTCCGTAGATACGTAGAACACTTGCTCCTTATCCAGCAGCCTTAATATCAGGTACGTTGAGAATATTTTCTTAATCTTTTCTATTGTATCTATCTATACTCGCCGAGTCACATGTAACTTTTTGTGGCTGTCCTTTTCTAAGTAGATTATTTAGTGGGTTCAATATTTCCGCCAGATTTCCTGTAATTGTTCACCACCTCTAATAAACTCTTAGCCTGCTTCTGGTTTGTAGGTAATTCAAGCTCCAATATCTTTTTAATGTTCTTCCTATGGGACTGATGACGTTGTTTTTAACCCTATGACCTAAGAATGTTTATTTCCTCCAAATCAATTTCTACTTTCTCAGCCTGGATGGTTAAGCCATTCTCCTGTATCAGTTTAAATATATCTCTAATACCCTTTAAATGGTCATCCCAATTCTCTAGGTAACATATGACGTTCTGCCTATTACCGACAACAGATGTCATCATCCTGATAAAAGTATCTGGGGCGTTTACAAAAGTCTATCTCCTAACCTCCTAGGTCTACGAGTCGAAAGCCCACTGGCTTTGTGATTCCAAGTTTTTAATTAATGTTCTGTATTTGAATTGAAAGGATCTTCGTTAATTGAATCTCTAGGACATATTTAGATCTAGAGATATATCTACAGAATATCCGGCATCATAGTTACAGCATATTAGCACCTTAGATGAATAGGCATTTTCAACAAGAAGAGAAACTTAACTGTGATATCTGGCATCCCTGGCAAATTTCGGCAAAGATCATTAAAGATCCTACGGAGTTATTTTTTTTCATGTTTCTTCCATTTATCGATATCAAATCTAAAGTATAGATCTAAGATTGTGTCTATCGTCTTGACTCTCTAGATCTAAATATTATCGGCACCGTAGATAAGATCAGTATTATTTAACTGGCATTCATCAGTAGAAACAGTTCTGCTAGAAAGTTTGGTCATATGACACGACACTAGTAGATCTACAAGAGAATAGTATTTAGTTACTACAATGTATTATCTGCAGTAGCACCTCTACTGAGAAAGAAAGCTGATTAGCCTGATACGCCATATCAACGTAATATCTCTACTTTGTTAGCCTGATACGCCATATCAACGTAATATCTCTACCTTGTTAGTCCGATACG